GTGAACTCTTCCTTTGGTTTCCTAATTCCATGCCTAGGCATATTTCATTTTAATGCTATATTTTATTTTCTTGTGCTGCTTTGTAAAATTTTCTGTTTAGTACTTTTACTTAATCATTTCTTCTAGTCGCCTTAGCTGCTTTATGCTCCAGAGCAAATTTCAGGCTCTCTGGTATACATTTTTTCCTTTCTTATCTGCCTTTTTAATGACCTACCTTTTACTTTGGACGTATGGCATCCTCCCAGAAGTCATCTTGCCATTGATCATTGTGTTCAGTGTGCCAAATGTGTTCTTGAACCTGGTCTCTAAATTCAGGTGGGACATACTCAAGATTGTGTTTTGGCTCCAGTGCACCTGTTTTAATTTTCTGCAGACCCATATTGAGCTTGTATATGAGCAGTTGATTGATGGTCTGTTCCACAGTAGGCTCTTGGCTTTGTGTTGGCTGATGATTCTGAGTGTTTCCATCTTCTCTTCCCATAGATGTAGTCAGTTTGATTCCTGTCTATATCATTTCGCAAGGTGCATGTGTATAGTGTTGCTGAAAAATTGGTATTGTAATGAAGTCATTGGGCTGAAAAATTCTATCATGTGATCCTGAGCTTTGTTTCTCTCATATTTTACAACTACTGGTATTTCCTCTTGGCCTCAGTAATTATCAGTGCATCTTTTATGCTTGACCAATTTCAAACTGAAGAAGTTCTTAAGAATTCTTCAATTAGTTCATCATTGGCTTTAGTGGTTAATGCATAAATTTGGATAATAGTTATATTAACTGATCTTCCTTTTAGGCTTATGAAAATTACCCCAGTGCACCAACAAAACACACAACTTTCCTCTGGTTCTTTGGTGCTTCCTTCACCCCACTATCATGACCTCAATTCTACCTTACATATCGGATTAGACCAGAGCAGGCACACTGCTACAGATAAGAGCCCGCAACACAGAATCCAGGATAGATATACTCCTCAGGGCCAACAAGGAGAGTAGAGGTACCAGGAGGATTAGGGAGCATGGGGGCGAGAAAGAGGAAATCGATTGCAAGGATCAATCTAGAACTCTTTCCCAGGGGGATGAAAAAACTCAAAAGTGGGTGAGGGGCGATGCAGGATGATGTAAGATGTAGAAAAAATAATCTATAACTTATCAAGGGTTCATGAGGGAGGGCAGATGGGGGAGGGAGGGAAAAGAAATGGGAGCTGATATCAGGGAGTCAAGTGGGAAGAGACTGCTTTAAAAATGATGATGGCGGCATATGTGCAAATGTGCTTGACACACTGGAGGAATGTATGGATTGTGATGAGAGATGTAAGAGCCCCCAATAAAAGTATTTTAAAAAGAAAAATTACCCTAGCATTGTGCTTCATGGTAGGTTGTGTAATATTCTTGATAGTATTAGACCAAAAGGCACTTTAAAAAAAAAAGAGTATCATCACTGAGTTCATTTGGACTTGACATGATGTTATATTGCATAAGTATAAAATTAATGTGGCTCCGATGAACATACTTTAGTATTGTTTCCTTAAAAGTTTTTACAGAGCTTCTAGACATGATTTTACTTAAACAAGCTTCCTATTCTTAGGCACTGCATTTTATTTATCAATAAATCCCCAATACCTGGTATGTAGTATTAAATTAAAATGGCTGGGGTCTTAAAGGCTTGAAGGTAATCAAGCGACCATCAAGCTCAGAAGCAACAAAGCCCACATGGAAGAAGCACACCAGCCTATGCAACCACGAGGTGTCGAAGGGATCAGGT